GAATTGATCACCTTAAACAAGAGCTTTTCTAACTTCAGATTGTGTCGTGGAGCTCTCTACACGATAACATCAGTGGATGGAGAAGATTGCAAGCAATTAGTATTGCCAAAGAGATGTCGACAGTCTGTGCTTCATTGTCTTGATGATCATAATGGCCTTCCTGGATGAGACAGAACTTATTCCCTCATAAAAGAAAGATTCTACTTTCCAGGAATGACAAATGTCATCGAGAATCATGTACAGAACTGTGAGAGATGCCTCAGAAGAAAAACTTCAACAGCAGCGAGAGCTCGATTAGTCAGTATCAAAACTTCACAGCCTATGGAATTAGTTAGCATGGATTTCTTGACCCTTGAACCATCTAAAGGAGGACAACAACACATCATTGTTGTAACAGATCATTTTACACGTTATGCACAGAAATATTTAATAGAACACTACTTAACATGCTTGGGACACTTGATCCTGGCGGAAAGAAAGACTCATGTGGGCCCTTTTGTACATGCGTATAATTCTACAAGGCATGAATCAAAAGGATAATCCCCATTTTTTCTGATGTATGGAAGGCAACCCAGACTACCAGTTGACTTGGCTTGATTGAACCAAGTAACTCCAGACTTCAGCAAGCCTATGATCTTGCTTCTAAATCTGTAAATAAATCTCAAGCAAGACAGAAAGAGACTTATGACATCAAAGCTAGAGCAGCCATGCTGGAGGCGGGAGATCGGGTTCTGGTGAAAGTAGTAGCATTTGATGGCACGCACAAGATAAATGATAGAGGGCGTCTAAATGGGAAGAGGGCATCTATGTCGTTCTTAAACAACCGAACCCAGCTATTCCAGTTTATGTTGTCAGGAAGGAAAATGGAGAAGGGAAGACATGAACACTCCATAGGAATCTATTGCTTCCTATCGGTTCGTTACCAGTCCCAGACACACCTGTACCAGTTAACAGATCTAAACCCAAGGTGTCATTTTGGAGCATCTAACCAGAAAGTCCCTGAGGAATTGACCGCCATGGAGAGTTCAGAAGATGATGATGATGATGATTATGATGACGACACAATTGTACCGTTGACCTACCCAGACCTTTCAGTTTCAGTTGGTATACCAGCTGATAGGCCAATGGAAGGCGAGGTTGAAATTGATACAGATACCGTTCTGGAAAGGGATCAAGGTTTAGTTAGAAGGTCACGCTGCTCAGGAAGGTCACATAGAAGCAGCAAACATAATTCAAATTCCAGATGTTCAGGGAGTTGAACCTAATATAATGCTCCGCCACCCGATGCAGCTTCGGGAACATCGCCACCTGATAGACTTGTATCCGAAAATCGTAGGAGGAGGATATTGCCAACCCTACCTCTCTGTAGGTCACAGAGAGCAAAGATACCACCAGGTTGGCATACCAGTGGAGACTATGTCATGGCAGTATCTGCAGATAAGAATGAAGAATGCATCTCTCGGGCGGATTACCTTAGCTCACTCATAGCGAAGAGGATATTTTCCCAAAAAGCTTCAGATGCTCTAGTGGAACTTGTGACCGGAAAACTTTCAAGACGAGGACGACATTAGTCAGAAGGGGGAAGTGTGTTACAGGGATAAAATCATTTTTTCTCACTAGTACCATTTACATTTTATTATGCATTTTATATATGTATATAGGGTTCTTCAACAGACTACTGCTTGTTTATAACAATTGTCGTAATTAGTTGACTATCTATCTCTATCTCGAGTATAATACTCTCATAGCTTTAACAAGTTATAGGGTCAGTTCATTCTTATTTTAAGGGTAGTCAGGTTATTCCATTTTAGTATTATTGTTTCATTAGTCTTGATCAAAGGAGTGAAGGTTAATTCTTTGTCTTGATTGGTGATTTTGAATATCTATGTCACCAGCCATCTAAACACCTCTGACCATAGTCACTATCACAGCACTGCACCACAGTACAAGTTCACAGGTTAGTTAATATTGTTACTTACTAAACTTAGTCTAATGTCTAAAAGTATATTAATCTTAATGATTGAATTAAATAACTTACAGTAATTTAATATTTGTGATATTGTAAAAAGTTCGTGATTTATGAGCATCAATGTTATGAATGGGTTCATGAAACAATGTGTTAGATTTCAGTGTAATGGCTTTTCAATATTTCAATCTAAATGCATATTTTAAGCTTTATCTGTATGATTATTATCTGATATTAATAATCAGGAATACTGTACATATGGACAAATTCTATTTAGGAAATATATATGTTGCCCAGATGCAACTGTCATACATGCATATATATATATGCCTTTTTCAATTACACCTGTATAAATGTTTCGTGTATATAGCTATTCTTTTATAAGTTAACTTGATTAACTTATTATGAAATTCTAATGCTGCATATCATATATAGATATGCAGGGATTTGACAATAAGTTTTTAATTGTCCTTTATCCAATATTTTATTGATTTATATATTTATGTTATAGATGTGTTTAGGAATACTAATTGCATATTTTATTGTTATTACAGAGTGTCATGTAACAGCCACGTTACATAACAAGAATAAACAGGTGTCTCACACACCGCAGGCTTGGTCCTCATTTAGCCAGACCAGCAGAGGCTGCAGCAATTACATACATGACTTTCCAAACAGGACATTGGTATTACATACATGCCATTCTATACAGCACAGTGTTATTGCATACATGCCTCCCTGTACAGCACAGTGTTATAACATACACGTCATTCCGCACAACACAATGTTATTCCATACTTGCGTTTCCAAACAGCACAGTGTTATTACATGCATGCCATTCCATACAGAACAGTGTTATTACATACATGTGATTCTATACAGCATAGTGTTATTACATAGATGCCATTCCATACACGACAGTGTTATTACATACATGCCTCTCCGTACAGCACAGTGTTATTGCATACATGACTTCCCAAACAGCACAGTGTTATTACATACACGTCATTCCGTACAGCAAAGTGTTATTACATACATGCGCTTCCATACAGCACAGTGTTATTGCATTCTTGCACTTCTAAACAGCACAATGTTATTACATACATGCCTCTCAGTGTAGCAGTTTTATTACATTCATGCATTTCTGTACTGGGCAGTGCTATAAAATACATTCATTTCCATACATCCCAGTATTATTACATACATTCCTCTCTGTGTAACACATTCTTGTTGCATATATGCCTCTCCATACAGTACAGTGTAATCATCCCTTTCTATACAGCTCTGCATTAACTCGTCACACGGTAGGCCATGGGTTCGAATCCCTACATGGGTGACTGGTGTCGCCCGCTTTGATGCAGGAATAGTGCTAATAGCGGTGTAAACACTCACTCACTCACTCACAGAACATCATCGGTTAAAAAGACAGAGAAAATAGTTGTTTTAAATAGAATGTAGAAAACGGACCACCAGGCGAAAAATAAAAATAAATGAGAATTATCTCCCTTAGGCTTATTACAACAATCAATCATCGATGTTCATATTGTTGTAGTACAAACCATTTCAATGCTTCAATCATCTTCGTCACAATCTATAAATTAGGAGATAAACCTACTATGTTTTGAAATTTGATGTAGTCCCACTGTAGACAAGATACCTCTTTATTTTAATATCTACTCTACAGTGGGACTACATCAAATTTCAAAACACAGCAGGTTTATTTCCATTCTACCCTGACGGCAACAACGCTTTGAAAACGGCGCTCTCTTGCAATGCGTAACAACACAGGCACACAGGTCCGCAATCTTAGATCATTCCGAAAAGTGGTCACAGGTAGTTATATATGTTACAATTATTACTAAAGTTGAAGATTTAAAACACCATAGTCGTGAGTAGTTCAAAATAAGTGTTCAAAATTTATAGTTTTTCAAAAGGAAGTTAACAAATAACCCCCCAAACCTAGTCCAAAGACAAATGTTTTAATTTCTTTCAACCTGTTCTGCACTTTCATTTCTTAGAATTATGCGAGGGAGGTATGTCTTGGAAATCGAACATGCCATTTTCATTGTAGGGGTGACAGGTTGAAAATATAGTTTTTAAAATGTTAAACGAATATATTTCTACAACAAACTTCATGAATTAACATTCCATTCTGCATTTAACATGTGTAACTCTTATTAGTTACTTAGCAATTACCCTTAGATACTTTAAAAAATCAAAATAAATGCCTCTCCACCCCGAACTTGAATGTGGCAGAACTTGACCTACATCACGGTTACTCACACCTCACAACTGTCAATGGCTGACGGTGTTGTGTTTACGTTTTGTGCCTCAGACAAGTTACACGAGCAAGATGACAACACCGATCTTTGATGTGGTTCAACATGAACCTGTAGATTTTACTGGGAATGAGCCTGCTGGTACAATGCGATTGCCAATGGCTGTTGACATGGTTGAAGCCGCTTTTTCGGCTGCAGACGAGTTGGCTATTTTGACACAGGAACCTGTTAATTTCAAGATTTCACAGATTCAAAGCCAGAGTGTGAAAGCAATGAGACCTTTATGTCCCAGAAATAGTGGTACGTGTATAATTTTCTTAATTGTGCGTATTCTGAAATGAATTTCATTAAGTTTGATAAGCGTCAACTTCAGTGATGTCAGGACATTGTTTTCGTGGTGATCTTTCGAAACAGGATTTTAACTCAGAATTAAATACTGTTTTTGACAGATTTCACTATATGTAGTAAAGCGTTCACTTTGATAACGTATGAAAATAATATATCAAACGAAATTTCAAAGAATTGAAGATGTCCTTTGGTGTACTGTTTCATCCCTGGTACAAACACATCTCATTCAACACCTACAGGTAAATAATACGTCTTCTGCTTAAATTGTCAATAAAAAACATAGAATAAGAATAACAGAGCAAACGAACCGAGTCGAATGTTCATTTGTATTGAACGTAAGAATGCTACCTGTCAACACTGTTATCTCTTAAATTTGGATCTAAGGTGAAATAATCTGGAATTCTCACCTGGTCTTCCGTGGTACGTATAACCAGGTGCGAAATACAATCCTACAGGTTCACCCAGGGGGCAGATACAGTCCTGGGTGGCCTGGTTGAAGAAGAAGTTACTGACACTGAATCGGTGGCAGAACAACAAACACTCCACCAGACTGGTCGCATTGACACGTCGTCTTATGCCTTTCTCGATCCACAAGTCCTGGTAGAAGTCGCATTCATACATAGTATTACATTGTGTCAAAGTGATTCTCTGACCAGTGGCCATACCGATTAACAAAGCAGCTGCCCACACGGTCCAGTATCCGGCCATCATGTCTGTGGGTAGTTCCAGCTGGTTCGTCGACTGAACGTCACTCCTGCTACCTGCAATGTTCTCTCAAAGTCCTCTGAATCACGGGCATCAAGTATCGTCTCCAGGATACACTTGGATGATCTAACTGGTGCGGTGTTACTGTGGTCATACCCAGGCTCTTTACCAACAGAGTAAGAATGGTTACATTATTAACGTGTTTCACCTATTGGCTGTTCAGTGTTTTCAGATTGCTGGCATGCTTCTCTGATTGGTTGGAACTTTCGATTGACGTTACCCTACATTGGTTACCCATGTGCGAAATCGTTAGTTATAGTTCAGGCAATGTCTTCTTCTATTGCTTATTACAAGCTGAATGATGCATATTTAAGTAGGAATACTTCACAATGTTCGTGTGGATGATTATCGACATTTCCGTTGTGGGAGATGAGCTGGGGAGAGGCATAACCAGAGACATCGATGACGGGTACAAGACATATGCAGTAGCTGATGAGATGAGCTGAGATGGCCTTACGGCGGACGCTTGGTACAAGATAGAAGAGAAATACTGGAGCTGCGTTGCTATATGAACATGAACATTAGAAATATAATCCTGTACCATATTTTTGATGGTACAGAAGCCAGCACTATTCCTTCAGGTATTCTGATGTATTATGATATATATATATACTAGTACCTTACAAGACAGAGAAATTAACGTTGGTGTACATATTTTCACATCTGACCTGTGAACTGTTTTTTTTTAAAGATACGATGACAAACAATTTAAAGGGGTCGACAACAACACAATAGAAGGATGCTGAACTTTAAGTTTATCATTATTTTGGGAGGCACCATAGGACAATCTCTAAATCAGTCATGTTTGTATGTTGTGCAAAGAAGATGATGGCAGTACACACGCATCATGATCTCTTTGAAGACGGAAGCATGTTCCGCTCCACGATGCCAAGGTCAGTTAAGCTCACACAATGCTGCTTCCTCCCCTACTGTGTAAACATCCCACACTACGATGCTTCCTCCTCTTCAGCATATGCCAGCAACCACTATGATGCTTTCTCCCCAACATAGGTAACCCACACTACGATGCTTCCTCCCCTACTGGGTATGCAAGCCACCACTACGATGCTTCCTCCCCTACTGGGTATGCCAGCCACCACTACGATGCTTCCTCCCCAACTGGGTATGCCAGCCACCACTACGATGCTTCCTCCCCTACTGGGTATGCCAGCCACCACTACGATGCCTCCGCGTTCCCCGCCTCTGTAAATACAGAACCTTTCATCAGCAGCATTTAGAATGAATTTCGATCTGTCAGTGTAAACCACGTTGCACAATTTGCAATCTGGTCCATCTAACGCCTGACGTGACCTCTTTCCAGGAAGAGGAGTTCTCATTGTGTAACACATTCGGTCCCGTGCTATCTAATTGCAGATACTCAATAATATTTGGTTGTTGTAACACGGCACTCAGCAATATTCCAGTATGACGGCGGTCTGTGTATAATCGAGGCTGGACCAGACAATCCAGTACATGACATCATTAGCATCGATCCACGCATTTGGGATACGATGCCATGCATCAACCAAGTCAGCGAGCGTGACAACCCGATCCCGTTAGTCGCCTCTTTCGACATGCACAATCGCCTTTTACGGCAAGCATGGATTGCTGAAGACCGATTCTAACCCGGATCTTCACGGGTTTGTATGACAAGATGACTTTAACTTTCAAATAGTCAATTTTCCCTTTACGTCTGGCAATATTCCTGCAGCTCTAGCCCTTGTGTCTACAGTTCACATTTTGAGGTACAAATGAGCATGCTCTTCCTACCAAGATTTCATAGAGCGTCATACAATTCTTGCCGTTGCATGTGTTTGTTACAGGTGCCAATGATAGGGCAGGGTGCGTTCACCTTTTCGAGAACACTTGGTATCATCACGATTTGGTAGTTATTCATAAACACATGATCATGATATAATCGTACATCGACTGTGCTTTTAGCAGAGATTTCTTTTTATTGTGATTAACAAATGAAGACAGTTGGTTATTTTTGTTGTAACATATGGCTAGGGTTGATTAGTGTTATGGTATAAATAGGCCTCCAACAAGCTGTGCTTTTCTTCCCGTCGGGATTCCAGGTTAGAAACGGTTCCTATGTAAAAATTATCACAACCCACAAAATTTCTGAAACACTAGCAAACGCTTACCTCTGTTCGTTTTCTTCTCCATGCGTCAAAGCCAGGTTACTGTAATATCGATGTTGAAGTCAGCATTCCAATCCCTTTGCGATCTTTCAAATGCCAAAAATATGGCCATGGTGTAAATACTTTCACAAAGTCCGTTCCAGGAGCTCAGTGTAGTTAGTACACCGAAGACTGTCACAGTAACTACACTACTGCCTAGAAGTTCATTCCCCTTACACGCATGGGCAACGCGTTACGCAACCAGTGTGCATCGGGTTGGTCACGCGTGTGATACCCGTGTGCAACGCGTTGCACACGGGTGTGCACCCCGTCCGCCACTCGTGTGCAACGCGTGACACACTCATTAGAGGGGGAACAAACGTTTGACCAAAGGAGGACCCGTGTTAAGCAGAACCTGGAGCTGGTAACAAGGAGAGAAAAATTTGTTATCCTGAAGAAAAATGATAATACACATGTATTTGCTAATGTCTCCTTTCTTTATGTGAATTTGTGGGAATAACATAAAAATACTGTTGTGATTAAATAGATCTGTCTTGTTTTATACGACCATTGCTTCTAAATCCGAAGGGGTTAAGAGAATACATGGTCCTGGAACATGTTATTGCAATTGAAATGCTTTTATTGTGATTTGACATTAACCGTCTGTAGTACGACTTTCAGTGATAATATGTATGAGGTTTGGCGGCGCATTGTTTTTATTGGACCCTAATTAATTTATGATGACTTGGACTCTTTATCTCAGCTCCATATCCGTGAGGCTGGAAAAGAGCAGCATGAAACTAATGAGGGTGGGTTATATCATTGAGGATACACATGAGGGAGAGAATACTAATTACCGTACTACAGGAAGAGACCTGTAGACGTAAGCGCGGGGTTGTGTTTTAGCTGGCCGTTCGATAATGGCCGCCAGGAGAAGTGAGCTTTGACTGCCTCATCTAAAGTAAATAATAAGATACAGCAGTGTTATTTTCACGGGTCTGTTGAATAAACTCCCAGCGCTACGGTCAATGCATCTTCTACTTGATCCTTGATACATCATTTTGGCATTCACAATATATAGTATTTCAACGTACAAAGGAGCACTGATCTAAAGCAATCCCGCGGGAGTAGTTGTTACCTGTGCATTACTGTATTTTCCAAGTGAGTACCCGTATGATATAGCAGAAATCTAGACTTGTTCGCGACCTGTGCTCGCCATTCGTAAGCGCATTTTTATTGATAGTAGAAGGACGTATGGTCACATTGATCAACAAAAATGACATACAGTTTTGGAAATGTAGGTATATTTGTGGGGAGCATCGGTAATGGTGATGCAGTTTTGATAAGTCACTTGCTTGGTAATTGTGCGATCTTCGTGTACACTATTTTGACTTGCAACACAAAGTAAATATTTCATCTGAACATTGCTTATTTTACCGTGTGTATATGTTTACATTCAAAATGTAAACAGATTTCACTAAGGAAATTTATTAAACGCCTAAATATTCAGTTTATTTTACAAATTAACTGAAAAATATATCCATCTTTATTAATATGATAACGAATTCCAAATATTTGTTTATGTTTAATATCATCACCAAGTACAGTTCTGTATTGTTTGGCTTCTTTTCTTAGCATAATTAATATATTGTGATGTGTTTAAGCTCTTTTGATCGTCTTTATCATTTTTAGTCAGTCGGTTAAATAAATGAATGGATTATTCAGTCAATTTGTAAAATGACTGAATTATTTAGATATTTAATAAATTGCCTGAGTGAATCATATTTTACACGTTGACTGTAACATATACACGCTTACAAAAGAAAATACTTGTGAAAACAACGTCTATCGCGCATCGAAAAACTTCCCAACCAAACGGAAAGGAACAAGAATGATTCTGTTCAAAGCTGCAGCGAATGAATGAAAACAAAATGCAAATATCATTATTACAACCTACCAAAGTTATAATGTATCCGGGAATATCAACATAAAGGAACGATATCCATTGCGTCTGCAGCTGTACAAAAATACTTTTTCGATGTCAAATGTCTATGTGAGAATCAAATACTTTAATAACAATTATTTGGAAACAATATTTGGAATATATATGAAATATATTAAAATATTTAAATATATCTTTTTTAAACGTTATTTAAATGTATCGAATATTATAACCCGTGTTTGTTTCTTAACTGATCACTTAGTTTGTTTCAATTGTTTAACATAGGTGCCAAGTTAGCTGAGAAAGCCCACGTGACAACTATTTTTATAATGTCCACGGTTCTTAAAAACATACATTGTGTTAGATAACAATGAACAACCAGTCAGTGTATTATCGGTTACCCTTTGATATGAGTGTATTCCCTAGGTTTAGTAAACCTACCTTCACATGTAAACACTTACTTTTGACATATCCACTGTGCAAGATAACAGTAATTAATCAATCAACGTATTTCCTGTTGATCCTTTGATGTCTGGGAATGATCAGTTGATTTACAAAAAAAGTAAAGCAACTGACCATACATCTCTTGCTGGGCTGCCACGTGCATATCACATAATTCACATTCCACCTCACTTCAAACCTGGATTTAGATTGAATAATTACCCCAGGTACAAGAAAGACAAGTACAAGGTAATCTGAGTGGTGCTACAACTAAGTATACATGTTATAAATTCATTAACTGAGCAGCAAATGAATTACGACAAATACACAAGTGTAGGGTTATACCAGAAAATATGGATGACAACGAGGGAGTAGTAATTGTATCATCCACGCAATCCGAAATCCGCAAATGCTTTCACTCAGGGATACTTTTTAATTATTCAACTGTAACCATCAGGGGTATTTCCAAATAACGACATCCGATGAGCTTTCGCCGTTATTTGTCTGTTTGTTTAGGCTGAATAAATTAATTACCATGCGCCCTTTGTCGAAATCTTCATAGATCACGGGTAACCAA